AAGTATTCTTTCTTTCTTTATTATAAATTTCTTCTTTCTTTTTAGACAGGGGATCTTGTTCTATTGCCCAGGCTGGAGTACATGGTGCAATCATGACTCACTGCAGCCTCAATCTCCTGGGCCACCGTGCCCAGCTTTGTTTTTCCGAGACAGGGTCTTGCTCTGTCACCCAGGCCGGAGTGCAGTGGTGGGATCATAGCTCAATGCAGCCTTGACCTCCTGGACTCAAGCAGTCCTCCCTTCTCAGCCTCCCATGGTGTTGGGATTTCAGGCATGGGCCACTGAACCTAGCCTTGCCATAGTTTTTTTTTTTCTTGTTCTAGAAGCCTTCTCTTGGTCAGCATCAGTTTATAGCTTTGCATGCCATGTTGTGTTTGAGAAGAACTGAAATTTCCAGCATAGGAATGTTGGGTAACCCACTGTTTCCTATTCATTCCCAGAGACTTACATCATGATGGCGTTCTTGTTGAAGGCAGTGCCGTCATTTCCAAGAAGCACCTGGATAAACATATTCCTTATAAGTATGTCATTTGTAAGGACGAGGGCTCTACTGAGTACGAGTTCATCTACAAGGCCCCGCAGAAGGACAGGGAGTACGTCAACCGTTGTCTCTACATAAAATCTTCCCTTCTGTCGGGCTCAGGAGGTAAGTCATGGCAGCAGGCTCTGCTCACCCCTCCGGACTGCAGGTGCCAGGCCTGTGGGACTGGACGCGTCTCTCTGGAGAGCGCAGATTTTGCCTGGGGTGAGGTCCTCTTTGCTCTGCATTGGCCCCGCCCCAGCCATGAGGTTCAGTGGCATTGACTTTGGGTAGTGTCTCTGGTTGGTTAAAGACGTGTTGGCCTCTCTTTTGAGCTCCTTGTGACTTACCCACTCACTTGCAGGAGGAAACATGGAAAGGATTGTTTGTTTGTTTGAGACAGAGTCTCGCTCTGCCATTCATGCTGGAGTGCAGTGGTGTGATCTCTGCTCACTGCGACCTCCGCCTCCCAGGGTCAAGCAATTCTCCTGCCACAGCCTCCCGAGTAGCTGGGACTACAGAAGCCTGCTACAACACCTTGCTTATTTTTCTATTTTTCATAGAGATGGGGTTTCACCATGTTGGTCAGGCTGGTCTCGAACTCCTGACCTCAGGTGATCCGCCCGCCTCGGCCTCCCAAAGTGCTGGAATCACAGGCATGAGCCACGGCACCCGGCCGGTCTACAGGGTTTTGATGGTCTTGGGTACACTCTTGTTCTGTCTGTCCCTCTTAGACTGGCATCAGTACGATGACATAGTTTGTATGAGGCCTACTGGGAAATTTTGGAAATTACTGAACCACATCACAAACGGGAAGAAGAAGGACGTGGTGAAGGGGAAGCAGATTGCCTCCGCGGTCATGCTGGACAGCATCTTCAGCATCCTGCAGGCCTGGGACACCATCAATCTGAACAGCTTCTTCACCCAGTTCCAGCAGTTTTACTTTGTCATGCGAGAGCCTATGATTTATGAAGGAGGTCCACAGCCGTGGACCGCTTTGCAGTATGGGGAGAAAGAGGTATCAGGCTTGCCACCCGCTGCTCTGCCTTCTGGGCAGGGGCCTCACCTGACCTGCTAGTGGCCAGATGACCGCTTGACTCTGGGCCAGGATGCAGATGGGAGTGTGTGGAACTTTCTGACCTTTTATCCTACCACTGCCTCTCAGGATTTCTCTGCCACCCCCCTTTTCCTCCTTTTCCTGGGTGTAATCTGAGCCCTGCCCCAGCACCTGTCCTGAGTCCTCCCCTGGCCTTGGAGAGGGAGTGGGAGGAACGTGGGACCCTCCCTCACCGCACCTCCCCCAACACGGCGGTGCAGCCTGGAGCTGTTTGTGAGGTGAAGCTGAGCCCTGCTGAGCCTCAGGGGCCCTGCCTGAGCCCTCAGGCCAGGGTGTTGGCTGCACCACGGCTGCTCCTCGGGCTCCTGCAGGTGCGGTGGGGGCACGGATGGGGCCTGCGGGCTCAGCTGTGGTGCTGCGGCAGGTCTGGACAGCTCCAGTGACTTCATGCATCTTCCTTTCCTCCCACCATCAGGTGAAGGAAGACCTGTGGAACTATCTGAAAAAGCAGATGGCACCATTTCTGGACAGAAGTGGGGACCATTTGCCTGGAGACTGCCCAGTGAGGAGCAAATTGAAAATGGGCCTGATTGTCCTTTTTATCGTGGAAAAATTGGATTTTTCCTTACCAGAAGACGACCTGGACACCGTGTGTCACCTCCTGGCCTCAGACGCCAGCTCGCCGGCTGAGCTTCACGATGACCTAAGCCACATCCTTGAGACAGCTCAGGGGTATAGTTTTTATTTTTTGTCAAAATGTTTTTATAGCTATTTTAATATTTTCTCTGATTGCAAAAATAAGTGCTTGACTAGATTGGCTGAAAGCACGCGGGGAAGAAATAAAGCCCGCGATTTTACTCACTGCGCTCACTTCAGCAGCTTCCTGTCTTATTTGTAATTTTATGATATTCTGTCGTCTTGGAATATCCTGCCTTTTCTGTTGTTGTTGTTCAGACGGCGTCTCACTCTGTGGCCCAGGCTGGAGTGCAGTGGCGCGATCTCGGCTCACTGCTGCTTCCGCCTCTCAGGTTCAGGCAGTTCTGCTTCAGCCCCCTCAGCAGCAGGGACTACAGGCGCACGCCACCACCCCCGACTAATTTTTGTATTCTTAGTAGAGATGGGTTTTTGCTGTTTTGGCCAGGCTGGTCTTGAACTCCTGACCTCAAGTGATCTGCCTGCCTCGGCCTCCCTAAGTGCTGGGATTGCAGGCGTGAGCCACCGCGCCAGGTCTGAATACCCTGCTTTTTAAAGCTTCGTGTCATACCATGAACACACTCCGTGTGTGCGTATTTAGGAGGTCGTGGTGCGATGCCGGGCCTGAACACATCGGCTCAAGAACATCTGCAGAAGCACCGTGACGTCTGTCCGTGCCCCTGCCTGTGCTGTGTCAGTTCAGGAAACACGGTGTGCTGTCCTGGGCATGAAAGGTTTGGTGCTGAGAAGGCGATGGCTTTGACCGGGCGGGAAGACCTGCTCAGAACCCAGCGAGCTCTGATGGGCACAGTCTCCCAGCATTTGCTCTGCGTGTGTTGATTTTTTGTTTGTTTATTTTTTTGAGACAGAGTCTTGCTCTGTCACCCAAGCTGGAGTGCAGTGGCGTGATCTTAGCTCACTGCAACCTCCACCTCTTGGATTTAAACAACTCTTCTGTCTCAGCCTCCCAAGAAGCTGGGACTATAGGTGTGCGCCACCATGCCCAGCTAATTTTTGTATTTTTAGTAGAGATGGGATTTCACCATGTTGGCCAGGCTGGTCTCGAACTCCTAACCCTGTGATCTGCCCACCTCGGCCTCCCAAAGTGCTGGGATTACAGGTGTGAGCCACCACACCCAGCCTACATGCTTTGATTTGAACTCAAGAATGACACTAGGTAGCTTTTCCTGATCAGCACGTGTTATCATGACATCTATTTCTTGGTTTTACACATTTATTTATTTGTTGTTTTAAGATAGGGTCTTACTCTGTGCCCCCAGGCTGGAGTGCAGTGGAGCAATCACGGCTCACTGCAGCCTCACCCTCCCGGGCTCAGGTGGCTCTCTCACTGCAGCCTCCGGAGTAGCCAGGACTACAGAGGCACACCGCCACTTCCAGCTAGTTTTTGTATTTATTGTAGGGACGGGGTTTTGCCGTGTTACCACGGCGGTGTTGACTCCTGAGCTGAAGTGATCCGCCCGCCTTGGCCTCCCACGGTGCTGGGATTATAGGCAGGAGCTACGGTGCCTGGCCTGGTTTTACAAATATAAAACACCTGACTATACAGTGCACATTTTGACAGAGGAGGAATGGCGGCAAGGCAGTGTACAAAGTTAGTTCCAGGGTTTCAAACATAAAGACTCGTGAATATATTCTGACTGTGGGAGATTCACAGGTGTTCTGTGTAGGCTCACCCCTTACATTTAAAAAGTTGTGTTGGGCTGGGTGCGGTGGTGGCTCACACCTTTGGGAGGCCAGGGCGGGCAGATCACAAGGTCAGGAGATCAAGACCATCCTGGCCAACATGGTGAAACCCTGCCTCTACTAAAAATACACAAATTAGCTGGGTGTGTTGGTGCGCGCCTGTAGTCCCAGCTACTCGGGAGGCAGAAGCTGCACTGAGCCGAGATTTCGTCACTGCACCCCAGCCTGGACGACAGAGCAAGGCTCCATCTCAAAAAAAAAAAAAAAAAGTTGTTTTGTCCAGGCACGGTGGCTCACACCTGTAATCCCAGCGCTTTGGGAGGCTGAGGTGGGAGGATTGCTTGGGACCAGGAGGTTGGGATCAGCCTGGGAAACAAAAATTAAAATACGAAATTTCTCCGGCCTACATGGTGAAACCTCATCTCTACTAAACATACAAAGAGTTAACCAGGCGTGGTGGTATGCACCTGTAGTCCCACTTACTCGGGAGGCTGAGACAGGAAAATCGCTTGAACCCTGGAGGCAGAGGCTGCAATGAGCCGAGATCGCGCAATTGCACTCCAGCCTGGGTGACAGAGCGAGACTCAGTCTCAAAAACAAAAAATTGAGCTGGGTGTGGTGGTGCACCTGTAATTTCAGCCCTGGAGAGGCAGAGCTCGCATGCTGGCATTATAGGGGCACCACCGCAGGAGGACCTCCCGAGCCCAAGCGTTCGAGGTTGCAGTGATCCGCGATCACACCACAGCACTGTCTCGATGACAGCGAGACCCTGTCTCTAAGCAATAAAAATATTTTTTACAAGCTGCTTTCTATTTAGATTTACCGTTGCCAGATGGCCTGCGTTCAGATCCCAGCCCTGAATGGCAGGACCCTGTGTTGACTGCTTAGCCAGGACCCCTGCACCTGAGATTCCTCCCCTGCCCTGGGAGTTTGTGGTGGGGATTCAGTGAGGGCTTGGCTGGGGCTGAGGGAAGCCATGTGCCCTGTGCTGGTTACTCTGCTCAGGCGCGTTGGGGTGCTCCTCCTGCTCTGTGTGCGTGGTGATTGCTTCCCGTTGGGACGTCAGACCCCCAGGGAGACAACCCCCTGGCCGACAGCTCACTTTGGGATCTTTATTCCCTTCCAGGTGGCGTGAGTGCCTGATGAAACTGTGCCTGAGGTGCGTAGACAGAAGGCTGTGCCTCTGGATGGGCGCCCTGCCTGTCCTACACTGCTGTAAGGAGCCGGCACCACGGCCCAAGGACCCCTGGAGCCAGCCTGAGGACACCTGGGCTGCCCTGGAAGGAATCCCCTTCTCACAGTGGCGGGAGCAAATGCTAGCCCCGTAAGTGGTAGAGTTGTACTTACCCACGTGAATCTGGGAAGAATGACCCCTGTGCTGTGTGCCTGGAGTCCCGGCGGGCTCTGCAGTGAATCCATCCCTCATTCTAATGGCAGAGCTAACACATGCTCTTCTAACATTTTAAGACATCAAAACTATCAAGAATAGGCTGGGCCCAGTGGTTTACGCCTATAATTCCAGCACTTTGGGAGACCAAGGCGGCTGGATCACCTGCGGTCAGGAGTTCGAGACCAGGCTGGCCAACATGGTGAAACCCCATCTCTACTAAAAAAAAAATTTAGCCGGGCGTGGTGGCACGCGCCTATAACCCCAGCTACTCAGGAGGCTGGAGCAGGAGAATCCCTTGAACCTGGGAGATGGAGGTTGCAGTGTGCTGGGATTGTGCCATCGCACTCCAGCCTGGGTGACAGAGTGAGACTCTGTCTCAAAAAAAAAAAAAAACTATCAAAGATACAAAATGTGCTGGGTAGGGTGGCTCATGCCTGTAATCCCAGCACTTTGGGAGGCCAAGGCGGGTGGATCACAAGGTCAGAAGATCGAGACCGTCCTGGTTAACATGGTAAAGCATTGTCTTGACTGAAAATAATAAAAATACAAAAAATTACCTGGGTGTGGTGGCATGCGCCTATAGTCCCAGCTACTCTGGAGGCTGAGGCAGGAGAATTGCTTAAATCCGGGAGGCGGAGGTTGCAGTGAGCCGAGATCACGCCACTACACTCCAGCCTGGCGACAGAGTGAGACTCAGTCTAAAAAAAAATAAAGTAAAAAATAAAAGAATACAAAAATGACCTGTAACCCCAGAGATAGCCGTAGTTAGCATGGCAGCATACATGTTTTTGATTTTTTCCAGATTTGGATTCGTGGATGTTTTATGTACACAGCTACAAATGACATATTTTTATTCTGGCTTACAACCTGCTTATTCCTCTTAACGGTATACTTTGTGAACAACTTTTTCTTTTTCTTGTCTTTTCTTTTCTTTTCTTTTTTTTTTTTAGGTGGAGTCTTGCTCTGTCACCCAGGCTGGAGTGCAGTGGCATGATCTTGACTCACTGCAACCTCCGCCTCCCGGGTTCAAGCGATTCTCCTGCCTCAGCCTCCTGAGTGGCTGGGATTATAGGCGCACACCACCACACCCAGCTAATTTTTGTATTTTTAGTAGAGATGGAGTTTCACCATGTTGGCCAGGCTGGTCTTGATCTCTTGACCTTGTGATCTGCCTGCCTTGGCCTCCCAAAGTGCTGGGATTACAGCGGTGAGCCACCGCGCCTGGCCATTAAGTTAATTCTCAATAAGCTGTTCTGTGCTTTTCATTTGATTCACTACATACTTTTGTTTTCCACATAGCTTTTATTTTATCTTTAAAGTAGAGACAGGGCCTCACTGGGTTTCCCAGGCTGGTTTTGAGCTTCTCGGCTCAAGTGATCCTCCCACCTCTGCCTCCCCAAGTGTTGGGATTACAGGCATGAGTCACTGTGCCCCGTTCCAAGTAGTGTTTAAGTCATTTTTGAAACTGGGACTGCTTCTATCGCTCCAGCACTGTTTTCCTCCGTCTTCCCTCGCTGATCTCACTGCTTCTCTTTTCTCTGTCCCGATTTCTTACTCAGGAGTTCATTACTTCAGCTTATGGACAGTAAGAGGCATTTGCTGAACATCGACGAGCCTCTCTTCCGATCCTGGTTTAGTCTGTTGCCTCTGAGTCACCTGGCTCAGTATATGGGGAACTTCATTGAGCACTTGAGGCCTTTTCCTGCTCATGTCCTGGACTGCTTTCTGGGGACTTACTACCGGCTGCGGGGACTTAAGGAAATCTCCTACTTGAATCGGGAGGTTTGTGTCTGAATTCGCCTCTGGGGTCCTGGCTTAGCAAAAGCAGACTGGTTAGTTAACAGGGAGAGATTAGGGCTCTTTTTCATAATAAACAGACAGTCTGGAGAGCCGTGACTGCTCATCCCTTGTTAGGGGTAGAGGTTGAGTTCCTTGAGCTTCTTCTGTTTCGGTAAATAGTGTTCAAGGAGACAATAACCTTTGTTCATTGTGACTGTGGAAGGTGGGATGGGAAGGGTTCTTCATAGTTGCCATTGTTCCTTTCACATTTTTTGGGCGGAAAAAATGATATGAGTATAAATCCTGAGTTTTATCTGTGAAAGACATAAGATTAGCATCTGAGCACCTTCGAGTTTGTTTGTAGGAAGAAAAACATGCATACGAAATTGATGCTGGATTTTTTTCAGCTCTGGTTCAGCAATGCCAGCGGCGTCATGGTTATGCCTTCTGACCTGTTTCTGTTCTCTTCACTGCCTTAGGATGTTCTGGACATTTTAAAAACGCTGTTGCACCTCTTGGACGCTTACCAGGACGAGTAAGTAGAAAGCGGAATGCGATCTCTCCCTCACATCGGCCCCCGGGGGCTTCCTGTGACCCCCATAATTAGCTGTGCCCCACAGTTGCTGTTGCAACAGCAAGGTCATAAATTAATATGTGGCCCACTGCTCTTCACAAGTTATTAATGTAGTTGTCTGTTTTGTTTGTTTGGTTTTGTTTTTTGAGACACTCACCCAGGCTGGACTGCAGTGTTGAGATCTCGACTCACTGCTACCTCCACCTCCCTGTTCAAATGATCCTCCGGACTCAGCCTCCTAAGTAGCTAGGATTACAGGTGCCTGCCACCACACCCAGCTAATTTTTTTGTTTTTGTTTTTGAGACAGAATTTTGATCTTGTTGCCCAGGCTGGAGTGCAATGGTGCGATCTCGGCTCACTGCAACCTCTGCCTCCCAGGTTCAAGCGATTCTCCTGCGCGATTCTCCTGCCTCAGCCTCACAAGTAGCTGGGATTACAGGCACACCACCATGCCCAGCTCATTTAGTGTTTTTAGTAGAGATGGAGTTTCTCCATGTTGGTCAGGCTGGTCTCGAACTCCTGACCTCATGATCTGCCCACCTCAGCCTCCCAAAGTGCTGAGATTACAGGTGTGAGCCACCGCCCCCAGCTGTCTTTTGTTTGTTTGGGTTTTTTGTTGTTGTTGTTTTTAAGAGGAAATAATAGATATCAGCTGCTAAGATTTGGGTGTCTCTCCCTCTGGTCTTTTTTACTGTGTATTTTCCCAGTTACTTGTAAATGGTCATGATACTGCATATGCATGGTGGGCGTTCCGCATTTTTTTAAACACTTAGTTTAAGATAAAAATCAAAGGTAGCTTTATATGATTATCTGAAATCATTTGCTCCTGCAAATTTGTGTGACCTCTGCTACCCTGAGGGGCCAGCAGACAGAATGCAGAACCACTGAAATGTGCCCTCGAGGGATGGGATGCGTGTTCTCTGACCGGCTGGGGCATTTCCAGTCTTTGTTCACGTCCACGTCTCTGCTGATGTTGATCCAGCACCTGTGACTTCAGGGTTCCCCCCACAGCCTTCCCCCACCCACTGTGTGTCACAGCCTCAGCCCAGGGAGTCCTTTATCACACTGCCTTCCCAGCCTCATCCTGCCAACTTTTCTTCTGTGTCCCTCCTGATTCTCCTCCCATGTCCCTGCTCTGTCCATGTGTCCCTCAGAAAACACAAAACCCCGTCTCAGCAGACCTGGAGCCAGTTCCGCACCGGCTGCAGGCTCTTCTGCTATTTCTTTCTCTTCCTCACGCCTGTCTGTTTCTTTCTGAATGTTTTTTCAAATTTATGTCGTGTTTTAACGTCTAGTAATAAACATCCCTTGCTTTTTCACATCCCGGAGTGCAGAGGAGAGTTTGGGCTTGCTCTGGCTAGAACAGTTCAGACTACAGAGGCAAAACACGCGGGCCTCGCTTCCTTGTTATCTTAGCCACAAGGTCAGGAGTGATTGAGATTTTCCAGATGTTAACTCAGATAAGGGGAAACAAACGCCCTCTTGGTGGTCATTGCAAAGGAAGGGGCTGGTCATCGATCGTAGTTACCGTTGTCCGGCTTCTCCTAAATCCTTGCGGGATTTCTCTGAACTCTTTGTGGGGCAGGATTTCCCAGGAGGCCTTGTTACCGTCCTACCTGACTGTGTGCCTGAAACTCCATGAAGCTGTCTGCAGCATTATAAAGACGGTGAAGTTTTACGAGCTGGTGGCCTTATCTGCCGAGATTGTCTGCAGGATGATTATAGTTCTGCCTCTGCTGGTAAGTGGAGTCAACACACAAAGTATCACACCCAGGATAGGGGTGGGATTTGGACATAAACAGACTGATTCTGGATGCTGGGATGAGATGGAGTGGGGGATTCTGTCATCGGACATTTCTTGGGTACCTCCTTGATGCTGGGTTCCATTCTGGGCATGGGGGTGTCCTCGCCCTCCTGCCTTCTCGTGGGAGGGAGGCAGAGCGTTAACAATGTGTGGCCGCCAGCTGGCCATGGGGAGACCAGAGAGCTGGCGCAGGGCCTGGAGGTCAGGCAGAAGACGACGTTTCTTTTTTTTCTTTTTTTTTTTTTGAGACGGAGTTTCGCTCTTGTTACCCAGGCTGGAGTGCAATGGCGCGATCTCTGCTCACCGCAACCTCCACCTCCTGGGTTCAGGCAATTCTCCTGCCTCAGCCTCCTGAGTAGCTGGAATTACAGGCATGTGCCACCATGCCCAGCTAATTTTTTGTATTTTTAGTAGAGATGGGGTTTCACCATGTTGACCAGGATGGTCTCGATCTCTTGACCTCATGATCCACCCGCCTCGGCCTCCCACAGTGCTGGGATTACAGGCGTGAGCCACCGCGCCCGGCTGACATTTCTTTTTTCTTGATTCTGTTGTTTGCAGATAACTATGGGGACCATTTTCCTCCCAAAATGTCCAAACATGGGCTTGCCCACCTGATTGTTCTCCTTTACATTGTCACTTGAATATGGTAACAAAGGCCATAGCACCTGCCATCCGTTCCCCGCTGCAGGCCACATCCCAGGTCCCATTGCAGGATGGGCCTGCTCCTCCGTCCCAAAGGGAGCCGCTGTGGTGACTTCTCCCGTGGGTCAGCGTGGCCTGTCTCCGAGCTTGACCTTTCTCTGTCCGGCTTTCCCCGCTCAGTGCTGTGCCTCTGAGCTCCATCTGCCTGGCTGCAGGGATCAGTAATTCCTTTTTGTCTCCGTGCAGCTTCCACCTACTTGAGTTCATGAGCTTCAGTCTGAAAGTGATGTAAGATGTAATATTTAGACTGATCATTTGTTTTTGTTCTTTTTTTTTTTCTTGAGACGGAGTTTCACTCTGTCACCCAGGCTGCAGTGCAGTGGCACAATCTCATCTCACTGCAACCTCCACCTCCCAGGTTCAAGTGATTCTCCTGCCTCTGCCTCCCAAGCGGCTAGGACTACAGGTGTGTGCCACCACGCCCAGCTAATTTTTGTATTTTTAGCAGAGACGGGGTTTCACCATGTTGGCCAGGCTGGTCTTGAACTTGTGACCTCAGGTGATCTGCCCTCCTTTGCCTCCCAAAGTACTGGGATGGCAGGCATGAGCCACTGCTCTCGACCTGATCTGTCTTTTTTTTGGAGATGGAGTTTCACTCTGTGGCCCAGGCTGGAGGGCAGTGGTGCAACCTCGACTCACTGCAACTCCTGCCTCCTTGGTTCAAACAGTTCTCAGCCTCAGCTTCCCGAGTAGCTGGGATTACAGGCGCCTGCCACCTTGCCTGGCTAATTTTTGTATTTTTAGTAGAGACAGGGTTTCACCATGTTGGCCAGGCTGGTCTCAAACTGACCTCAAGTGATCCACCCACCTCAGGCCTCCCAAAGCGCAGGGATTACAGGCGTGAGCCACCACTCCTGGCTTTTTCTTTTTCTTTTTTTTTTTGATGTGGAGCCTCACTCTGACTCCCAGGCTGGAGGACAGTGGTATAGTCTTAGCTCACTGCAACCTCTGCCTCCGTGTTCAAGCAGTTCCCTGCCTCAGCCTCCCGAGTAGCTGGGATTACAGGCATTAGCCACCATACCCAGCTAATTTTTGTATTTTTCGTAGAGACAGAGTTTCAGTATCTTGGCCAGGCTTGAACTCCTGACCTCGTGATCCACCTGCCTCAGGCTCCCAAAGTGCTGGGATTACAGGCATGAGCCACTGTGCTGGGCCAATCATTTGTTTTTGGACCTTACTGCAAATCAGAACTGTGACGTTAATGATAGAAAACAATTCAGTGTATCTTTTAACTTTCTTCCTTTCAGTTATCTTGAGTTAAAATACCACAGACACAATTTAGGAATAAATATTATTGGTAAGATGATCACATGCTCCAGACTGGCTGCTATTTAAACCATCCCAGGCGGCTGCCAACTTCCAAATTAAGGAATTTGTTAGTTACTTAGGATATATTTTCTATAGAAATAACTTTCTTAAATGTTGGCTGGGATCTCACATCAAGCCTAATCCATATTACGGACAACATACTCTACCTGTGCCGTAAAAGGAAACCATAAAAAAAGAATAATAAAACTTTGCAATACTAAAATTAAACAAAGCAAAAATGCATGTGCGTGCTGAAGCAGCTTTTGGGTGGCTGCTGCCGTGACGGCTCCAGGCTTGATGGGACACTTGGGGAACGAGGTGCGCATGTCAGGCTCCGGAGCGGATGTGCAGCCCCCGGGCGGTCACTCAGGTTGTTTTTATTGGTCATGGCTGCTCAGCCTGTGCCGCTGGATTATTCTAGAAGGAGCGGTGCCATTGGGGGACCTTTAGCAGTGCCTGTTTCGTTTCCCGCCTGCCGCCCCTCCCCCTGCGTGATGTGCTCTGGCCGCCCCGTGCCCAGCCCTCCCTGCGGGCTCTCTCTTTCTCTTCCACAGCAGCACCTGCATCCCGGCCCCTCTTACATGCTTTGAAAGCTCCTGTCTGCATCTTCCCGTCCTGGCCCTTCCCAGGGCTGGTGACACTGTGTGTCCCTGCCTGTGGCGGGCACCTCCTCTCTCCTACTCTCGGGCTGCCCCCTCCATCAGCAGCCCGTCCACTTGCCTAGCACGTCTTCGCTGCCTCAAGGCACGGGCCACTCAGAGCTACCAGTGAGCACCTGAGCGCATCCAGGTTCTGTGGCTCTGACACTTGCACCATGTGTGGGGCTGTGCTTAAGAAAAAGGCCACACACACGCCGGGCACGGCAGCTCACGCCTGCCATCCCAGCACCTCGGGAGGCTGAGGCGGGCATCACCTGAGGTCAGGAGTTTGAGACCGGCCTGCCCAATGTGGCGAAAATACGTCTCTACTAAAAAATACAAAACTTAGCCAGGCGTGGTGGTGGGAGCTTGTAATCCCAGCTGCTTGGGAGGCTGAGGCGGGAGAATCACCTGAACCTGGGAGGGAAGGTTGCAGTGAGCTGAGATTGTGCCACTGCACTCCAGCCTGAGAGACAGAGAGAGACTCTGTCTCAAAAAAAAAAAAAAAAGAAAGAAAGAAAAAGAAAAAGACCACACACAAATCTGGGACTGTGGGTCCCTCCCAGGAGGACGCAGGCCCTGTTCACTGGCCCGTATGCTTCCTGGGAAGTGCTTCTGAGAAGGAAAGGGGGAGGAGGGGGAGGCGTGGGGGAGGAAGAGGAGGGAGGAAGGGGAAGGCAGGGGAGAGAGAAGGGAGGCATACAGGAGGCCTTGAGCCCAGGGGAAGAGGACTTTTCCCATGGGTCTGGGGGGTCTGGCATAGCACACTGGGAAGAGAACCCGGGTTTATCTCTGGGTCAGGAGCCTGGCCGTCTCCTGTGTCTGAGGAGCAGGCTGGGAGTCTGCAGGGCCCCCTCTCGGCCTGCTCTTCCCCCTGGGTCTCCTGGGCACAGCCTGGGAGCCTGCTCATTGGCAGGACAGAGGCTGCCTGGGCCTGCAGGGAAGGACACAGACGCCGTTCCCTCCCTCCCTCCCTCCCTCTTTTCTCCCATATCACCCACATTCAGGGTGAACCCAGAAACCCCGGGGAGCAGAAGTGCTTTGAGAAGGGGGCTTCTGCCAAGGCCTGCCGCCCCTCTAGCCAGCGCAGCCTCTCCTTGAGCGGCCCGTGCCAGCAGAGAGGAGTGGGGGTGTGTGGCATCTCGCCGGGAACCTGAGTCCACAGCCGAGGATGACTAACTCTCCCTCTTGTGTGACAACAGGATTCTGCAGGACAGGGAGATGAAACTGGAAATCATTCAGTCCAAAGAGTTTTCCAAGGGACCCTTGCCGTTACGAAAAGGTGGCTCCGAGGAGTTTTTACAAGGAACATGCTCGTATATTCAGGTGTTTCATTCACGTACTCCGAGGAAATGGAGGTAAGCGTTGCTGAAGGCTTCTGGGTAGGGATGTGAATGATTGTGGTTCCTCGTGACCACAAATCACAGGGTACAGGCTACTGGCCAGGGCCAGTTGTCGGCCTTCACCTGAGCCTCAGTTCTTCATCTACAACATGGAGTCGCTCCTGTCTACCTGGCAGGGTGGCTCTGAGGCAGACAGATGCCAGGTGCAAAGTGCTGCTGCACTGCCTGGTGTCCCTGGCTGGGCACAGTCCCTGTGGTGGTAGAGGTGTGGTGGTGATGGTGATGCAGGTGATGGTGGAGGTGATGGTGGCGATGGTAGTGATGGAGGTGATGGTGGTGATGATGATGGTCTGGAGGAGTTGGTGGTGGTAATGGAGGTGGTGTTAGAGATGATGGAGGTGGTGGTGATGATGGAGGTGGTGGCGATGGTGGAGGTGGTGGAGGTGATG